CGACTGGAAACGAGGCACTTCGCGGTTACTCGCGCGCTAGCCTCTTCCAGGCTGGCGTTCAGTTACTTGGGGCGCAGCGCGAAAAACGGCTGGCGAAAACTTAGGAGAGAAGCAAGGTTAGAGAAAGCAAAAGAACGCCGTTGGGCAAACCAAAAGACCTCATTTTCTCTTAGGCAAACTTGACAAAGGGCCGTTCCGGTATACCAGGATCTGGCATATTCTGATTGGTCAATTTTGACAGGTTTTGTCAACACTCGAGCTTCTACAATCCCGGTACAGCTAGCGCTGGTAAAAGGGATTTTCCCAGTTTGTACGTTATCTCCTAGTCGGTAATGATACGAGGAGTGATCAGAGCTGGTCGGTATATAATTTTAGTGTACGGACCGCGGCCATAGGGGAGTTAGAATACCAAGTTACTCTGTTACTTGAATCGGTATCTTGGTGTACATCTTGGAATGAAATGCTACATGAAAACATATTTCACTGCAAACTACTTACTGTTTACTGAACAACTTCGGATGAGCCATGAACATAAGGTCANCTACATGAAAACATATTTCACTGCAAACTACTTACTGTTTACTGAACAACTTCGGATGAGCCATGAACATGAGGTCACGGCAGGAAAACACAACAGTTCTTTGACATGAATAACATTTCATCAACACAGTAATCGGTTATGTAACATGGCAGTATCATTTTATACAAAATAATACAAGTTCGCGGTGTTTACTGTCCGTACTGTGCAGCAAACAAGCATCTTACAAAACTACGTACAAAGAGAACAGTTAGGTGAGATGTTTACAATTCTCTACTTTAAAACTGTCCGCGACCACTACTGACATACTTCAGTGTTCCAAGCAAGGAATTATGGTAATTCAGGTGCATGTATAAATCTGACGTCTAATAGTTACAGTACTAAAATGTTGGCTGTAATAATGTCTCTCTTGTGCTGTATATTCCTAGAATCAAGAGAAAACAACAACAATGAACATCAGATCAAGAAAGTTTAATGTTTCCTTGTTTTAAAGAGAATAAATGATTGAAAGACTTTATTTAAGTGTCAAAGAGTATTTAGCTTTATAAAAACTAACTGGGGACACTATTCAAAAATTAAATGCATCTTAGCGACATAAAATTAAATTATTTACAATTTAATTCGGGAAAACCCTAATAAATAAGTAAAGAAACAAATGCAGAGTTAACGAAAAGGAACAAAACTCATAAGAATTACCACGATCTTTCAACTCAAAAGGGAGTCCGTGGTTAATCAAAAAGGTCGGTCTGAGTGCAAGTGTGTAAGTATTTCTCGCGAAGCTGAGTCAAAAGATACCACCGTTTTTACAAGTCGCTTCTATCTCCTGAGCGTTTCGATTGAATAAGTATAATTTCGTCTTCATTTTGCAGCCTACAAGTGGACTTTTTCAACCTAGAGCCATTTCAAACGAAAATGAAACGTGCTCGTCCATTTTTGACGCCATCTCTTCAAAAATGTGATTGTCCGAATTCAACTTTCGCGCTTCATTGCGTCACTCTTATGCTAATGCATGTTTAATGAGGTATGAATATGAATAATTATCTCATCTCAGGTCCTAACTTTCGCGGGAAAAAAATTAAAAACCCAGCGCTCGTCAAAAATTATATTTTTTCACCACAAATTTAGCTCGGAACATATACATATTTATATTCGTTTGAATCGTCGATGAAATGA